GCTTTTACTCTGCCATCTTGGCTCCACCCTAATCCCCTTGTTTTATAGATGATATATATACTATCTCTATTTTCAAGAATTCTGGGGGCAGCTAGGTGGCACAGTGGATAGAGCACTGGCTATGGAGTCAGGAGTACCTGAATTCAAATCAGGCCTCAGATATTTGACACTTACTAACTGTGTGACCCTAGGCAAGCCATTTAATCCTGATTGCCTCACCAAAAACAAAAGAAAAAACAAAAAAAACCAAGAATTCTGAAATCCCCTTATCTGATCACAATGTAATGGTTTTTTAACCTCTCCTTCTGCCCTCTTTTATAAAATCCTTCTCTTTGTCCACACTATGACCTCCAATCCCTCTACCCCTCAGTCCTCTCCCAGGCCTTTTCTCTCTGCTCTAGTCACTTTCTCCTTTTTTTTTTTTTTTTCCATTTTCACCCTTTGGTGAACCAATTCAACTCTACACTGTTCTTTTCTTTTGAATCCCTGGCCCTTTTATCATAACACTGATTACACCCAGCTAAGCCTCAGCCTTGGATCACTCCCACCATTCATCACATTTGCTCCTACTATATGTACTGCTGAATGAAGATAGAGAAAATCAAAACTTCTGATTTGATTTACTATAAATTTATGTTACAAAAACTCAAGTAGGCCTTCACTGCAGCTAGGCAATCCCAGTATACTTTGTTTATCAACTTACTATCCCATTCCCCACAATGGCTTTTCCAAACCTTTTTGTACCTTCTCAAACTTCCTATGGCTCCTCTCTCCCCACTCCCTCAGTTACCTCATATTGCTTGCTTCATATTTTATGGAAAAAATTGAGACTATTTGCCATGAGCTCCCTCTTTTCTCCTTCCCCACACATCCCATCACTCAGATGCCATCTGCCACTCTCTCCTCCTTCCCACTTTTCTCATATGATGAAGTGGCCTTTCTCTTCACCAAGACTAATGCTCATACTTGTTCAGTTGATCTTATTCCATCCCCATCTCCTCCAATAGATTGCCCTCCACCATCATCATCCACCTATCATCCCACTGTTTCCCTTATTTTCAATTTCTTCCTTTCTACTGGCTCATTTTCTACTGCTTATAAACATGACCATCTCTCATCCATCCTGAAAAACCCTCACTTGGTCCTTCCACAGTAGTTATCATTCTTACAATCCAGCTTCTGATCTTATCATTCTACTGAAACTAATTTCTCCAAAGTTACTAATGATCTTAATTGCCAAATTCAGTGGCCAAATCTCAATCTTCATTCTTCTTGACCTCTCTGCAACCTTTGACACTGTTGATCACTCTCTCCTCCAGATACTCTCTTTTCTCTAGGTTTTCAGGTCACCATTATCTCTTGGTTCTCTTCCTACTTATTTGACCACACCTTTTCTGTATCCTTTGTTGGATCCTCTTCCAGATCATGCCCTGTAACCATAGTGTCTCTCAAGGTTCTGTCCTGGGTCCTCTTTTCCCTGTATACTTCTTGACTTGGTGAGCCCATAAGCTCCCACGGATTTAATTACCATCTCTATGTTGATGATTCTCAGATCTACCTATCCTGACCCAAACTCTCTCCTAACCTCCAACTATGCATCTCTGACTACCTTTTGCAGATATTTAGAACTAGATGTCCAGTAGACATCTTAAACTCAATATGTCCAAGACAAATCTCAATATCTTTTATCCTTCTCCCTAAACCTTCCCTCTCCTTCCTACCTTCCTTATTATTATGGAAGGCAACATTACCCCCATAGAATCTCAGGCTCAAAACTTAGGTGTCCCCCTGGATTCTTCACTCTCTCTCACCCCCCATGTGCAATCTGTTTTCAAGACCTGTTGATTTCACCTTTGCAATATCTCTTGAATACAACCTTTTCTCTCCTCTGACATTGCTACCACTCTGATGGAGGCCCTCATCATCTCACATCTGGATTATTGCAATAGCTTGCTGGTGGGTCTCTCTGCCTTAAGTTTCTCCTCACTCCAATCCACCCTCCATTTAGCCACCACAGTGATTTTTCCCTAAAGCACAGGTCTGACCATGTCAACCCAATCCTACTGTCCCCCAGTTCAAAAAACTTCAGTGGCTCCCTCTTGCCTCTAGGATCAAATACAAAATCCTATTTGACATTCAAAGCCCTTGATCACCTAACTCCCTCCTTACACCTTACTCCTTAACACATACTTTTTGATCCAGTGACACTGGCCTCCAGACTGTTCCATGTATAGGACACTCTATATCTCTACAGACTTTTTTTTCTGACTGTTCTCTATGCTGAGAGTACTGTCTCCCCTCCATTCTGACTACTGCTTTCCTTGACTTCCTTTAAGTCCAAACTAAAATCCCACCTTCTACTGAAAGCCATACTCCACCCCTCTTTTTTTTCCTAGTGTCTTCTTCGTTTAATTATTTCTTGTTTATCTTGTAAATCGCTTGCTTTGTATACATTTGTTTACATGTTGTCTCCCTCATTAGATTGAAAGTTCTTAAAGGCCGGGCTGTCTTTTACTTCTTTTTTGTATCTTGAGCACTTAGCACAGTGTCTGGTATATAGGAGCTTCTTAATGAAAGTTTATTGATTGATTGATGAGGAAACTGAATATGTATTGCATATGATCAGGATAAGCAAACTAAGCAAAACTGACTAAGCAAAATTGTAGGGTTGGTAAAATATCTCTGGTACATTCTACAGATATTTTGTAAATAATAATAATAATAATAAACCAGTATGGCAGTTGCCTTCTTTTGTCTCTTCTCCATTCCTAATGTTACCTTTACACATTGTTGTTCCATTCCTTTTGAAATGTGACATTTATGGATAATTCTTGGGAATAAATTGAGAGCTGCTTCTTATTTGTTTGAATGTAATAAAAGCATATCCGTTGCTATCTTAATATCATAGGATTATAGAATTAGAACCAGAAGGGATTTCAGAGGTTGCCTAGTATAACACTAATTTTACAAACTTGGTGATTTTGTCCTAGAGATGTTGACTAATTTTTCCAAGTATTACATAGATATCAAGTAGCAAAGCTACTTTTGTATTTAGAATGCCAATATACCTAATATATACCTTTTCCTTAGTGCAGAGCACTGGATTTAGAGTCATAGGATCTGGGTTGGAATTCTGGCTGTCTTCTTTGTTGCTTGTGCGAACATATAATTTACTTAATCCCTCTGGACTTCAGTTTACCCATTTGTAAATAAGGGGTGTAGACAAGATGATCACTGAAATACCTACAGCTCTAAATCTATGATCCAATGACCTGTATACTCAGTTTCTTTATAAAAGACTTTCTGTTATACCTACATTTATATCATTGAATCATTGCACCCATTTGGGGTTTTCTTGGTAGAGATTCTGGAGTGGTTTGCCATTTCCTTCTCCAGGTCATTTTACAGATGAGGAAATTGAAGCAAACAGGCTTAAGTGACTTGCCCAAGGTCACACAGCTATTATGTATCTGAAGTCAAATTTGAACTCAGGAAAATGAGTCTTCCTGACTTCAGGCCCAGCACTGTACCCACTGTACCACCTAGCTTTTAATTTTACTTTTGTAAAATCTTTTCCATGTCTCCACACTTTCTTTTCTCTGATACTGCCACCACCTTGGTGTAGACCCCCATCACCTCATGCCCAGACTATTGTGATAGGCTGCTGGTATTTCTCATAATTTGTTAGCTTTTTGGTCACTATTGCTGACTCATTTTGAGCTTGTAGCCCATGAAAATCTCAGGTTCTTTTCTTATGTGAATGGTTGTCTTGATATTTGCTACCTATGCAGTTGTGTTTTTGGGTATGAATACAGGCTTTGAAATGTATTCCTATTAATTTTCATCATGTTTAATTTCTGTCTTTTTTCTCATCTGTCAATATCTTTTTGGATCCCAATTCTATCTTCCAACATATCTTTCTTTAATAGCTTTGTATCATTTATAAATTTCATAAGCATACCATCAACATCTTAGTACAAGTCACCAATAAAAATATTTAATGGAATAGGGCAAAGCGTAGTCTTCTATGCCCTCACATTTTGAAAATTAGTACACCTATTTCTTCGATAATACAAGCATTGAAAAATAATACACTTCATTTTATATGTAATAATATTACTACATATTTTAGTATTTGTTTTGAAAACTTTATGTTATTACTAAATTATGAACATTAGATTTCCTGCATTACTAATAATTTTATACATCATCTTTTTAATAGAGAGACAAACTTGTACTTTAAGGAAGATCTGTCTTTCTTATTCTTATTCTGTCTTTCTTAAAAAGAGTTAAATAATGTAATGTTTAAGTTGGTCACTCACAGATTATGATTTGTACATTATATTGGAGAATATCACACTGATATAAACTAAAAATTGTATAGTTAGAATTCTACACAGAAATTATTTGAATAAAAAATGCCAAACTTGATGTTAAGCAGCAATATTATTGGGTTTATTTCACTTTTCCCATTGTGCTATTCTATTTCTTCTGTCTTTGGTGTTAGTTTTAAGGAATTAAACAAAATAAACTCATCATCTTTATGTATGTAGATGTTCCAGTGTTGTAAACAATTTAAACTATGTTGAAGTCTGACAGATTATTCAGAAACAATCATGAACAATTAGTCTGGGATAGAATTAATTTAATTTTTTTTTTAAAGATCATACTTAGGAAACAGATATAATAATTTTAGGACAATATAACAAATAGATTAGTTCATGTAATTCCAAAATTGGATTTATTCCTGTTGATTAATATAAAAGAACAAATTATAACAACAAAGAATTAGAAACTTGGATCTATTGAGTATGACCAGCTACAGTCATACCATAATAATATGGTTATGATGTTTTATAACCATAATATTATTTTCATATTAGAATATGGCTATAATATCATTGTATGTAAATTAATGGCCACAATAAAAGAGAGTATGTCTTAATAAGGAGTATATTTTTCATTGTTTTTATAATATTTTTTCCTTTTTTTCATTAAAGGCCTCATTCGTTTGCAAGAGCTCATCAAAGCTCCATCAAGGTACAATTTGCGGTTGAAAATACGTCAGTTGCCTGCTGACACAAAGGATGCAAAACCTTTACTAAAGGAGATGAAAAGAGGCAAGGAGTTTCACGTAATCTTTGACTGCAGCCATGAAATGGCAGCAGGCATTCTGAAACAGGTAATCTCTGACTTGATTAAATGGCAAGGTTCAATTATATTTAATAAATTAAATTTTGGAGTTGAAGGTTTTCTCTTTCAAATGGCCAACAGCTGTTTTCCCCAGTAAGGCAGAAAATCAGTCAAGTTCAATTGAGATATTTTTATAATAGATGATATGAAAATTGCTGTCTAATTTTCCTTTATATAAAAATTTAAGTATTTGTAGAATGTCTAAATATGAATTAGTATACTTTTCAAAAAGCTATAATATTGTTTGTAAATATACATGGCATGCACTGAAAGTGCTCTGTTTTTCTCTAGGAAAGCAGGTATCATGGAAAGGTAGTTGTTGTGCACTATATGCTATGCATGAACAAAGTCATAAAATCAGAGATTTTATGCCAGAAGAGATCTTAAAGGTCATCCTAGTCCAATGCCCTCCTTTTTCAGATGAGAAAACTGAAGATCAGAAAAGTTCACTGACTTGCCCAGTGCCTTAGAAATAGATATTTAGTAAATAGTAGGCTCTTAATAAAAGCTTCTTGATTTAATAATTATCCAGGGTCATGTAGGTAGTAAGGAGAGGTGGGATACAAATCCAGATTTTCTGATTCCAAATCCAGCATACCCACTATACCACACTAACACCTGTGTAACAACAATCTTCTCTAAGAAGGCATTAACATTATTTTTATATATGCTCAGATGAGGGTGAGTTGTCCTGATACCAGATCCCTGTTATGAGTTAAGAACCCTTGCTCTAGGCTTACCTACTTATTTTACAGACAGGGGAACTGAAGTCCAAAGGCACATAGCCCATTCATGATTGACTTTTTTGAAAAATCAATATATAAATACATATACATATTGATAGATATGTGTGTGTAGAGAGACATAGCTACATGTATGTTGAACTTGATATATCTATATATGTATATATAATATGGTATGTATGTGCAAATTTGTAAAGTATCTCTATGGTGCACTCTAAAGATATTTTGTAATATCTAATAGAGTAGTTGTCTTCTTTCTGTGCCCCCTTTCCATTTATGATGTTACCTTTACATATTGTTTTCCTAATCCTTTTGGAATATAAGAAGGAATAGAAGGCAACTTCTTATCTGTTTGCATCTACTAAAGTATATCAGAGCTTATTTTCTTGGCTCTGAGGATTCCCAGGGACATAAAGATAGGAACTTCCTCTGTGAGGCTGGAAATTTCAATTATCTATGCCCCTGTTCATCCTGCATTAAGATTTTTGGTCAGTGAGACGTTCTTGTTAAGATCACACACTGATTTCACTGAGTTTGGTAATTATTTATGAAGGTCTCTAACCAGCCTTGAGGGGACCCCAGCAGCCAAAAGGATATCAAGTCACTTTTCCGAGAGGCTGCATGATATCTCTGAAAAAAACACTTTATTTTGAGTCAGAGGACCTGGATTTGAATCCCAGCTCTGCCACTTAGTGACTGTGTGGCTTTGTACTATTTACTCAAGCTCTCTGAGCCTCAGTTGTACTGGCAGAGGAGACTGACTGCAACGATGCCTGTCTAGAGACCAGGGAAGGTTAATCAGTCAGCGTGGGGCTGAGCAGGGAAGCCTGAGCTGCTTCAGATTAAAGGCAGAAATTGACAGACAGTTAGCAGAAGGACTATGGGACCTTCAGGTAGATAGCATAAGGACTGTTTCCACAAGTCCCTCCTGATTAAATAAGGATTAAATAAGTTAAAACTTTGCCCTCAGTCCCAAATGTCCTATAAAATTCTCAAATACTATCCTGGATCCTAAGAACTACATTTCTTGGCCCTTGTTTGCTATTTATCCTCAAGAGGAACAATATCCCTTGTTTTATTTGCAGTAATTAATCTCATGTGGCCTGAAGTAGTTAACCGTAGGATGGTGTAACACCCTTCCCCATAATTGGCCACATAATATTAAACCCAGAAGTTCTCACTCATTTTTGTAGAGATGAGCTACTGTGCCATCCAGAGTAGTGGTAAGAGTCGGGGGATAGGGTAGGATGATCACTTAGTCTGTAACAGGGATGGATTGTTGCCCTGTTAGCAGTTTCTAGGCTTGTTTCTTCCTCCTCCCTGTGGCTTTTAGGTATTTTGAATGACTTGGTCTGCCAAGGGTAGAGGTTGTCCTTGTGACTGACCATTTCAGGGTCTACTATCTGTTAGTCAATCAGACCAATATGTTGAATTCCCCTTTTATGTCATGTCCCACCTCTGATATATTCTGGCTGTATGACCCTGGGCAACCTCTTAGGGCTCTAGGCAACTCTCTGAGGCTGTAAGTTGCAGAGAAGATGCTGATCTACATTGTTAAAAGGAATTTCCTCTTCAGGAATTCAATATGTCATTGAAATCACAGCTCCATTCCTTATCCTCATAACTTTCTAGTTGTTACAGGACCCATTATTTTGTACAGATTTCTATATATTCAGGTAGGTCCAGTTTTTCTCCCCTCAATATACACAGTAAAAAAAAAAAGTCACAATATGATTACCTTATAAAGATGAGTGTTTGTCTTGTTTCTCAACTGAAGCTCAGCTTTCACGTTATTCAACAATAAATTGATGTTACGAATACATGTGAATCACAAATAATCTGTGGTTTCATTCACTTAAAATACCCCTGATGTAGGAATCCCTCCACCAACATAGATCATTACCCAGCTAAAATAGTCTAGAAAATTCTGAGGCAATTGCCTGAAAAACATTGGAGTTAAAGGACTTCCCCAGGATCATATGCATATGAATTTGAGTATGCAAATGCAAAAAAAGATTTATATTGGTAATATTATTCATACTTGGAAAAAAGCATCTGAGATGTTGATACTCCGAGATGATTGTACCTTTGCATCTCTTACTGTGTCAGTCAGCTTTTATAGATCCTGCATTCTTTAAGTGAAGATTTAAATCAGGCTTTTCTGCCATTTTATTTTCCCTTCACACACTAACCAAATAGTCAATTCTTGTTCACTTATTTACTTAGGTATGATACTTCCCAGAAATTCTCTGTTACAAGTGCCTGCATTTGCAAGAATGTTTTTTTTTCCTCTTGTATCCTTAATTTAACGTAAAACCTTATAAATGTGCTTGCCTAGTTATACTAAGAAAGTAATCTCCAGTACAACCTCGTGTATTATCTAAAACTAGATTTTAGCTAGTTTTATTTATTTATTTTAGCTACATAGATTTTAGCCCCAACTAATTGTCATCATTTAAGTTTTTTTCCCAACAATTCCCAACATAGTATCTATCCAGTCAAACATGTAACCCTAAACACTTGATCTTGTTAATTTTGCTTTAATGATTGAAGAGCAAAACATTTACACAGATCGACTAATTTAAAGTCACTATCCATGCTAGAATTGTTTCCTAGAGATTTAGTCATGGATTCAATAGGTCCTTGGCACATAAATGTCTTTCCTTCTCCTTTCTTGCAGAACCATTTTTTTTTTTTTTAGTGAGGCACTTGGGGTTAAGTGACTTGCCCAGAGTCACACAGCTAGGAAGTATTATGTGTCTGAGGCCGATTTGAACTCAGGTCCTCCTAACTCCAGAGCTGGTGCTCTATCCACTGTGCCACCTACCTGCCCCGCAGCACCATTTTTCATTAGCCCCTAGAAAACAATTCCCTCTATTCCATTCATAAAATGCTTTCACTTACCATCTAGAATCCTTCTAAAAATTTCCTCTTCCAAACCCCACATAGTCAAAGCATAGGCTTTATCTTTTCTCATTAGTTAATGGAAAAATAGTATCCTCTTGCTCTTCCAATCATAATGTAAAATGTGTTTGGCAATGGTACTGTGGAAACCGCTCAGCTGATGAGAATAGAGAGATCTTGCAGAAATGTATCAGTCCCTTTTGAAAGCACTTGTTTCCATTTCTCATGTCTTCCCTACATGCAAAACTGCATTTAACAATCATTAGCAGCTAAAATGAATACCTTTGGAGATATACTCCCCAAGTATTTATAAGGAGTTTACAGGATGAGGAAAAGACAGTTTCCTCTTGTGAATATTTCAACTCCAAAAACTGTTACTTTCAGTATGTTGTTGTAAAATTCATGAGAACTTTAAGAATGTGGAATTAAAACATAACAATTCACTACTTTGCAATTAGGAAGGCTGGAAATCCTACTTTTAATTATCTGTACTTTTTGAATAATGGTTGTAAATTTGGATCTGCTCCATTACTGCTAAGGAAATGTTAAAGGGCTCAACATGAGGACTCCTTGATTTTTCTGGCACTTAAAAAAATGTGTAATACTGTTTTTCACAATGAAATGGTGCTCTTCATTTAAAGACTTTTTTTTTTTTTTTAGTGAAGACTATATTCATTATAATACAATGAACTAATACATCTTGATTTCAGGGTTTTGGTGGCATAGTGATGCTTTCATTAATATGTAAAGCTATAGACTTAAAACACCCAACATTCTAATAGTAATCTTTCTATCAGAAGATCTGGTTCATAAATTCCTTTAGTAGTTATTAATCTCTTTTAACTGCTGAGAAATGATTTGCTTGACCTGATTTTAGTGTAACTCAAATATAGTAGATTGGATTCCAGTTGAATTAACTGTTTTGCTCTTACTTGTCATAAGCCACACACTTACATATTGTGTGACCTTGCAATAATTAAATTTTTGTTTCTCTCTTAGGCATTAGCTATGGGAATGATGACCGAGTATTATCATTACATCTTTACTACACTGGTAAGTATTTTATTAAATCAGAAGGATGATGGTAAAAAGTCTTTCTTAGCTTTAAGTATCAGTAACTTTCATTGTTATAATTTGATCATGACAAATAGCCTTTTAAATGAGATAAAAGAAATATGACACATGGTATTTTTGTAGTAATTTTGTCTTTTTTATCAAAATTTAAGAGTTAGTGATATTAGCTAGCATCAGAGGAAACTCATAAATCTTAATGGTAAACTACTTATTTTGAAATAATAGCATTGCAGATTTTAATTCCCAGTGAATATATTTCTTGTTTTTGTCTAATTTTGCAGGGCCATTGGGACGTAATTTGCTGTTGTTGTTGTTGTTGTTGTTGTTTTAAGTGCTACTCTGATAAATGGATACCTTTAAAATATACATCCATTCATTCTTTTATTACTGCTGAAATAGAAATACGCGATGCAACAAGGAACTAACTCAGTATCACTGATTGATTCATAGAGTCCATGGGAACATAAAAACACAGGAAGCTAAAGGGTTTTTCTTTACGAGGGCTTGATCAGACTCTAACAAATTATCCAGAGGAGGGACCCACATTAAGTCACTCATTTCAAAGTATATTTTGCTTCGAAGAACCAGAGGTTAAAAGCTGCATTAAAGACAACCTGACAGCAGTTGCCTGCTGATGGCCACTTTAAAATCACTCTCAGGCTTCCACAGCAATTTGCATTAACATTTCTATAGAAAACCTTGGTTGGGCAGCTGTGTTTTTTTTTCCATTTCTGTGAGTAATACATGAGAAAAGTTTCAGTAGAAACCATCTTACAGATCTGTTTATCTTTGAGCAAAAAACAAAAATCCGTTATAACATATGTTAGATTGAATCTCACTTGGTCATATTTTGCATTTTCTGATATCCTACTAACATGAGGCTATTTGAATCAGTACTTTTGGTTATCTGTAATTTTCAATCCTATTTTACAGTGTGCTTTAAAAGTTATACTTAGTGGGAATAGATTTCAATCTTTTTTGTTTCTTTCTAATTAAAGAGGATTAATTTGTCATCATGGTATCATAACTAAATTTCTTGAATGAGTAGTTAGAAATCTAGTTAGGGTTAGAAATCTCTACTTCCTCACTACTGCTGCCTCTTCTGTCCTTCACCTGTTGCAATCTGATATCCAGCTCAGTGCTCTATTGAAACTATGGAAACTAGTCTTCCATGGCTTCCTATGCACCAGCTCTAAAGGTTTTTTTCTCACTCATCCTTTTTGACCTCTGTATAGCTTTTGACACCGACAACCACTTCTTTCTTTAAAGCCTTCCTGCCTTTGGTTTCCTTGATATTGTACAATACAGATTTTCCTCCTGCAACTGTGCCCTCTCTTTCTCTTGTACTCACTCCTCTTGTCCTCCTGCCATGGCAATGTTGACATTTCACAAGGTTCGGTCTTTTTTCTCTGTTCTTCTCTCTTTAGGATCTCAGTCTTAAAGAACTCATTTATTCTCACAGCTTCAACTATCACATCTATGTGGAAAAACTGTCCAGATTTTATCTATAGTTCTTACCTTTCTCTCAGTTTCCATTTCCATATTTTCAAGTGCCTCACGGACATTTTTACTTCAGACTCTGGATGCCTAAAACTAAAACTTTTTTGGGACAGAGACCATTGTTCTATTTTGTATTTGCATCCTCAGCACCTTTCACAGTGCCTCATCCCTAGTGGCTCTTAATAAGTCCTTGTTGAACTGAACGAATCATTTTCCTTCCAAAATCAGTCCTCCTCATGACTTACAGATATATCTCATTTTATTGCATTTTGCAGATATCATGGGGATTTTTTGTTTGTTTGTTTTTCTTTTTTTTTACATTTTGAAGGTTAGTGACAAACCTGCACCAAGCAAGTCTGTTGGCACCATTTTTCCAACAGCTGTATTCCAACAGCATGTCTCTGTTTCACATCTTGGTAATTCTCACAATATTTAAAATTTTTTCATTATTGTTACATCTGTTATGGTGATCTATGGTCAGTGATGTTTAGTATTACTATTTATTTATTTATTTTTGGTTTTCAACATTCACTTTTATAAAATTTTGAATTCTAAATTTTCCACCTCCTTTCCCTCCCCCCTCCACAAGATGGCATGCAATCTGAAATAGGCTATACATGTACAATCTTATTAGACATATTTCCACATTAGTCATGTTGTGAAAAATAATTTTATTGTTGTGTAATTGTTTTGGGGCACCACAAATCACACCCACATAAGAAGGCAAACTTAATCGATAAATACTGTGTGTGTTCTGACTGCTCCACCAACCAGCCATTCCCCCATCTCTTTCCCACTCTTCAGGCCTCCCTATTCTCTGAGACACAACAGTATCAAAATTAGGATAATGAATAATCCTAAATGGCCTCTAAGTGTGCTAGTGAAAGGAAGAGTCACTTGATGCAGCAAACTTCATTGTTGTTTTAAGAAACTGACACAGCCACCCCAACCTTCAGCAACCACCAGCCTGATCAGTCAGCAGCCATCAACATTGAGGCAAGACCTTCCACCAGCAAAAAGATTGCAACTAGCTAGAGGTTTAGATGATGGTTATCAATTTTTTAAGTAATACGAGATTTTTTATTAAGTAAGGCATACACATTGTTTTTATTAGACACAATACTATTTCACACTTAATAGACTATAGCATAGTATAAACGTAACTTTTATATGCACTGGTAAACAAAAAAATCCATGTGACTCACTTTATTGCAATATTTACTTTTTTGTAATGCTCTGGAACCAAACCTGCAATATCTCCAAGGTATGCCTGCATTGTATTTATGTCAGTGGTTCTCCTAGTCATTGAGGATCAAAACCTCTGAGTCATCACTGATTCCTACTTTATCATATTCTCATTCCCACCCCACACTCAATGATGTCATTATATTATGTCAATTCTTTCTTCAAACTGTCTTTAGGATCTGTCCCTTTTTAGTTTCAATTGCTACCCCCCTACTTTAAGTTTCATTAAATTTTACCTATATTATTGTAATTCTTTTTAATTGTCTTCCTTGCCTCCATACTTTCTCCCCCTGTAATTCTTTCATCTTTATCATGCTACCCACCTCTCTAAAAAGCTTCTATGTCTCCAGTTGCCTAGAGAAATTCTTCCTAATCAATAGCTAGCAACCAGTAAATCTTGAAACTTGACCTAGTGGATATATGAGCTACTCAGTGTAATAGCCTTATGTTCATGGGAGAAAGAACATGGTGGATGACTAGTCCTTCAGTGATCAGTGAATTGTATTTATTAGCAATACCACACCAACCCCAAAGATCAAAAGAAGCTTTATATTAAGAAATCATTGGCACTTTTGGTCTTTAGGATAAAAACCCAAACTCTGTGGTATTCAAGGCTTTATATAGTCTAACTTTAGTTTATCTTGCCAGGTTTGTTTCCTACTACTCTCCTACATAAACCTTCTCCATCTCTGTTCTTTTAATTGTGTTGGTCTTTCCTACTGCTGGGCCTTTACTCAAACCTGTAATGTGTGATAAATCCTACCAGTGCTTTCAAATTCAGTTCAAATTCTGCCTCTTTTATCTGAAGCCTTGTCTGACCACCCTAGCTCACCATGGTCTCTTCTTTCTCTGAACTGATAGCATTTATTGTTCAGTCCTCTTACACAGTGCTTATCATAACAGTCTTTTTTTTTTTATGTGTACCTGTTGTACTGCTTAGTGAGATGGTAAGCTCCTGACAGACAAGGACCATGTCTTACCTTCTTTGTATCCTGCACACCCTTCAGGCAATGCTTTATACATTCTTTGTACTCAATAAATATGGATTGGTTGATTGCTATAATTTGTGGTTTTTCTTATTGCATTCAAAATGACACAAATAGGTTGAATCACTGATATCAAAGGAGAGCTTTGTACAATAAAAAGGCAAGAAGGGCTTTGATCTTACAGCAGAGTGAACCATCTTTCAGAATTTTAGAAGATTTAATTTATTAATCATTTTTAAACCTGACAGAATGGAAACATATCACTTTGGTTTTTAATAACATTGCTTACCTTAAAAGTCAGTAGTAAAAAATTATGTAGAAATAATTGAAACATAATTTATTAGATAATTAATGAAGTGAGTTCTTTACCTATATTTATTATTTTTACAAACAAATATTATTGATTAATTAGATTTATTTTTAGATTCTATGATTTTAGAATTACATAGGATCTTAGAGGTCTAGTCCAACCACTTAACTTCACAGCAACAAGAGCTAGCATTTATATAGAAATTTAGTTTTTAAAGTGCTTATAAATGTTATTATGTTCTTATAACCCTAGGAGGTAGGAGTTATTATTAGACCCATTTTATAGTTGAGAAAAATGAAGCTAAGTTACTTGCCCAGGGTCATACAGCTAGTAAGTGTCTGAAGATTTGAATTCATACACTTCCTAACTGCTTTTCTAGCACTCCATCAGCTGTATCATCTGTCTGAGGAAACTGAGGTCCACATGCATTGCAAACATGGTGTCTGAAGGGACATAACAACTGGATACGACAAGATATTCGACTTATCATATAATGTTTAACATCTCATCTGTTCAGTTTGCAAAGTGCTTTGCAAACCTTAAAGTACTATATAGATCTAGCTGTGTTACTACATTTAAAATTAGAAAACAATAGTCCACATTTGTAATTGGGCATGCAAAAATTTTCTTAATATCTTCTTTTATATTACATTTTGGCTTCTCTGAAATTTTTATAGCAGTATCCATAATATATATCCCTAACTCCAATTATTATTAGAATGGATTTTTGAATGAGTCAAGTAAATTACCTAAGTTCTGCCTTAATTGTATAGCAGAAGAAAACAATGAAGCACATAGGAATTCTGACATAGTTTAAGATATGTTTCAGGATGATTTTAAATTTAACTATATATCAAGAATGCCTCCTTTCAGATACCTTTTTCTTTGACTGCTATCTCTGTCAAACACCTACTTTGTCACCTGTTCAACCTGGCTTAAGTTCCCAACCATTGCTGCTACTTATACTAACCACTGCACTGAGTGACCTCAAGTACCATTAAGTCCATCCATGGTCCTATCTGTGACCTAGCCAAGCCTAACTGGTGTGATTCCAGTCCCCAGCTAAACTCTCATACTAGCATCCCAGTTTCTTGTTCTGGCTCCCAACAGTATCCATAGGATCTGGGTATAGGTTTTTGTCCATTTTTAGGAGTCTGAAAAATAGCAATATCAAACTATTATTGTCAGGATTTAGATTCTTAGCTTCCTTATATATTTTGACTTTACCAGTCCCTAGATTTCATGGTTGAAGTTAAGACATCAATGGGATAGATTATCCCAAGTGCTTATTGCTGGCCCAAGAAACATGAAGACCAGGATAGGAAAATGCAGCTAGAGTTGGTCTTGGGCAAGGGGCTAAAGTGCTACACTGAGGCTAGAGTTCTGATTGAAAATCTCAAGGTTCACCAGGCCTCAAGTCTCTTTGGTGACCCCCATTTGTTAGAAATATGTGATGACAACAGCAGACATTTGAGCTCATCATGTAGCATGAGAGTAGCAGATGTGGAAAATGCGAAGTGTGTAAGAAAATGGATAGTCAATAGCCTTTTCAGTAATGTCTCACAAATCTGTGGTTTTATAGCTACTCTCTTACAGAGTTCCCAGACTTATTGATGCCATAATTTTAGTCATCATCCAAGTATTTAATAAGGTATTAGGATCATCAGATGATATATTCAGAGCTGGAAGAAACCTGAGAAATCATTGGACTTAACTTCTAATTTATAAATAAGGAAACTAAAGTAGAGAGGGGTGAAGAAACTTGCTGAGGGTCACACCGCTGGAAATGGAGGAGGTATTTGAATCCAGGTTTCACCTGATTTCAAGTCCAGCATGCTGTTGATTACACTATTCTGCATAACACCACATAGTCCAGTAATAGTTAATTTAGTTGAAATAGTTGATTTATACAATGAGATCTAAACATACAGCTCCTGTCTTCTGTGAATCGATAGTTTAGTCAAGATATATACTTTGGCCCATCACACTAAATGAGCCTAGAAAGTGCTCTGTTTGTCTTTCTGTATGTCTGACTATCTATCTAGACATAAATGTATGGAAAATTTTCTTTAGATCTCTGCTTTGGGGCAGATATGAATTGATCTCCAGATGTTCAGAGGTGTGGCATACCTCCATCTCATATGCCTTTCTTTGTCCACTCACTTTGTCAACATTCAGTGTTTTGTTTTGTTTTGTTTTGTTTTTTTTGAGAAAAATTGAAGTAGCTAAATTTTGGTTAGTTCAGATTAATTAAGAATCTTTGTTTAAAATAACAATCTACCCATTTTCTTTTCTGCCCTTTCTATCAGGACCTCTTTGCTCTTGATGTGGAACCCTACCGATACAGTGGTGTTAACATGACAGGGTTCAGAATCTTAAATACTGAAAATAGCCAAGTCTCGTCTATTATTGAAAAGTGGTCAATGGAACGGCTGCAGGCACCTCCTAAGCCCGATTCAGGTTTGCTGGATGGATTTATGACGGTATGAATATCTACTTATAGATTATAGTTTGTGTGTTTCTGTGTTTATAATTGTATTATAAAACCCTTAAGATTGGGATGTTAATTTAGCTTGTTCATTTATCATAAGCATGATGTGAAAGGACTACGAGTAAATAACAATATTATCTATAACAATTTTTATATGATCAGTGTATATTTTATCCAGCTGTTTAAAAGGGCTTTACAAATATTAATGGAATACTACCATGTAGGACCAACCCTCTCGAAAATAATTTGATGTTGTGTTCCCAGAAAAAAAAAAGGTGCAGGGAAGAAAATTACTTTGGGAAAGCATTAATTTAACTTTCACTTCTAGTCTTTAATATCTTTTGTAATTCTGATGTCTGACATAGATGATTTGTATTTCATAACCCAATCCTCACACCCTCAACCTACTCTCCAATGTTTATCTGATACTAATTAATGTCTGATTTTCTTGAACTCAAGTACAGTCCTAGTCTAGACTTAGTATGTATACTATATAGTCTAATTGTAAAGACCTCTATACTTCTAAACTTAAATAATTCTGGATTTCTAGATGGTGATAGCAAACTGTAAATGACCTATTTATATTCATTTTAAAAAAATTAACCAAAAAGCTTAGGGCCAGTATCATCAGTGCAATTGATGAAGTAGGATAGCAATTAGGGAATATTAATAATTAATTAGAAAATGAGATTGAATAATATAAAAAAGAGTCTAAGTCTAGAAATTGCAATTGAAACATATCAAAATGCAATCAATTGCATTTTTCAAGTGACAATCATGTATAAATTAGAAAAAAAATTAAAGTTGCAAAAGAACTTTATGAACATCTGGTATATCCCAGCAGCAGACTGCAAAGCATGAGATTGGTGCTGCCCCAGATGAGGATTAGAGGAGTAGACTTTGATCTTTCTTAATACCCCTAATGATAGATCCCAAATAAATAAATATAAATAAATAAATAATATTTGTATACATACACATATATACGTATGCACATATAAACACATACACACATATATGCACTTATCTTTAGAGGACTGTGGTACTCAAATGATTCTGACTTCTTACAGTTTTTAAATTGGAAAAATGACCTTCTAGAATTGTAGCATATTTTAAAAGTAAATGCTATCTGCCTGGGTTTAAATTCTGTTGTTCTTAGAAGTATCACAAAAGGAGTTTTAGTTCTACTTATACAATGAAATGATTTACTAGGAAGGCTTTTTAAATTTTAACTAAAGGCATAGTAAAAAAGCTAACAAAATAAAAATTTATTTTAATTAAAAATATATCACTTATTTTAATAATCCAATTGTTTGTCTTTTCATCCTTAACCTTGAATGGTTCATTATCATAATGAAAAAAACTGCTGTATAACCAAATTAAAAATATAATATAACCAGGAAAATGACAATCACAAAGTACTTTGTTCTCAGACAGCAAGCTTGTGAGTAAACCTTCTGCTGGAAATATAATTCAGTATTATTATGAAGAGAATAAATTTTTTAGAATGTAACAATATTCCTCCTAAGTTTTCAACCTACTCAATTTTTAATATCATCGTTGATGATATCCTATGTCTTCAATATAGAATTGATAGCTATTCTTATCTACACTACTCTATTGTGAGGATAAAAAAATAAGAGGGTCATTATGGACATCCTGAATCTACTATAGATGTTGCATTGCATTATATATTTGGAGAAAGGTCAAATAAATTTATAGTAACCACTTCAAAAAATTTATGGTGTAAGATTTGCACATTACCTTATGTCTAAATAGAACTAAGATTTAGCAATGCAAGGATTAATGTGTACTTTCAACCATCAATCAAATGATATTTGTTAAATGACTACAAATATGGAATCATACTAGCTACTTTTCATATAAATCCAGAAAATGTGGATCTACTTATTACTAGTAGTTTATGTAGACAATTCAAACATAAGACAAACACAGCAAAAAAATGTTTTATCCAAATGTAAGGGAGTCTAGAGGAAAAGGGAGGATTTTTAAAAAAGTTTTGCTTATGTTGGTTATTTTGATATTTATAGTGGGTTGGTATTTAAGAACATAAAGGAAAGGAACAAAGCCTAGTACATAGGAGAAATTATGCATTTTATGAGCTGTGGAATTTTTCTTCCCTAGTTCTATTAGGAGTCCTAGTCTAGATCAATCACTTCCCATTGGGTACTGTTCTGGATTTATAGAAGATTTGTAGGAGAACACGCATATATAAGAAAAGATAGCATCACACTGATTTCTTTTATGACCCCATAGCTGATAATCCCTGTGTTTGGTTACTCTACTCTTTTATGATACTGTGTATATTTGTAACAGGGACATGAATCTTTGCCATTTCCTTGGGATGGGTTGACCCTTCTCCCTCCCTTTTCCAGGGCAACAGTACTAAGCTAATTTGCATGACCTGCCACAGAGGAAGATGGGAATGAATAGAGAAATGGAATGGGAGCTGGATTGCTGTCAACAAACTGCCCAAAACTCAGTGGGAGAATCTAAAGTGGGTAGGAGGCTCACTGCCTAGCCACTGGGGAAGGAAGAGGTAAATGGATATGGACTCACTCTGAGCCATTCCAAAGCAGAAAAATAGATACTCTTGAACAGGAACAGTTTCTATTGTTACCAGAGGAGATATTTCTTGTGTAGGGAAGGGCTGTGTAAAAAATAGATTTTAAAGAGGCCTGAAGTATTCAGACCTTGGGGATGAAAGAGATGAAAAGTTTTAAATGGCTAGAAGCACCCTGACACTGGAATCACAAAAGAGATGTAATGGTATCTTAGTATAATCCATGATCCAGTTACTTGAAAGTTTGCATTATCCCTTAGGAAGGAGAAGGGAACACAGGACAGCAAAACTAAGCTTGAGGACAGGGACAGTGGGAAAAAAAAATGACTGTCGTGGAGCAGTGGATGGTAATCATAGCCAGATAGATACAAGCTATAGTGCAATAATGTAGCATCAGTGGAAAGACAACTGAACAGTGACAAGAAAGGCCTATTCAGTGATAGTAAAGCACTGAACCACTGACTGGAAAAAGCCACGAAGGAAAGACCATTAAAACATCAAGAAGACACAGAGTACAAATGCACAAGAATAGACTGAGTCTTTGCTCTTTTTGGGACCTGCCAAAGGGTATTATTATACATTGAAAGGACTGTATGGATTCCATGGAGGTGGGATGAGGTGAAGTAGGGACCAATGGAATGGGGAAAAGGGTCTTGACCCTCCTCGAATCCTCAAGCTCCTTACCCTCACTGTTACCCTACACTATGCTGTATAGGTGCCTGTAGTAAGTCAGAGACAGAACAGAAGGAGAGGCTGACCATGGGAGAAATTCTGCCTGGGCGTAGGCTCAAATGTGAGTCTTTTATTGTTTAAATAAAAAATAAAACCTATTCTATGTTTTGAAACCATGTGAAGCTTAGTCATAGAATTATAAAATCATAGCTCTAGAGCAAGAAGGGGCAGATGCCATCTAGTCTTGCCCTTTTATTTGGCAGATGAGGAAACAGAGGCCTAAGGAGGTTAAGTAATTTGTCCAGTGTCACAAGATAATAGCACCAGTAGTGGGAATTAAGTCTAGGCCTATTGACTCCAAATCCATTTTACTTTCCACTGTGCTGTACTGCCTCAATGTGCCTTTGTAAGCAGAACATAGGAATAGACACATAGTAGTAGATACCAGGCTGCTAATGAAGATACGGGAAGTATCTGCTTGGATGAATGGAAATATTCTTGCCTATATCTCACACTTTCTCTTTTAGGGCCGCTTGTTGGTAAAAGATTCCCACCTGCTCTGAATAGTACTATATTTTCAATGTGAGAGGTCAAAGGACTGATAGGCTGTTAGTTATGGTGACAAAGAATTATCTCCTAATAAAATGACAATATTCCTAACTTTCAATACCTAAGACCTTCAATGGTGGTATTACTTTCTTTTTCAGTGTTACAAAGGAATGGGATTCTCAGTAAAGCTCTTATTATCTGAGACCAAGATATATTGCTATTAGTAACATACTCATTTGTCACTATATAAGGCCACAGTTCATTAACATTTACATCCTTAATTCATCTCTCAGAGATATCTGAGAAATAAATTAAAATGTTAACCAAAAATTCTTAAATGAATTCTATTTCTTGATACACATAAACAATACAAACATATGTAAATAACAATGTCTTGTTATATAGGATAAGAAATTGGATTAATTTGAGAATCATTAATTCTTTAATTGACTCCAAGGTTAATCATTTATCTAAGAACCAATTTTTCTTATGGAGATAAAGAATGCTACAAAATAGTTTGTCATCTAACATCCATTGTTTTTTCAACAATCTCTTGGAATATAAATTTGCAACCCATTTTTGTGGTTGACTTTTCCCATAAATTATAATTTGATTGTCACATATGTTGATTATGATTTTAATCAATTCATCTTTGAATGCCATATAGTTTATTTCAAATTAGAAATAATTTCTATAATTTAGAAATGTTATAATTCACTATTAGAATTATAGTATAGGTTGTTACTGATTTTTTAAAAATGTTCCATCTTTATACATGTTTAATTTTGGAAAAATATGTTATAGAGTGGATAACAAATTCATAGGTTTTGTGTTGGAAGGGAACTCAGAGATCTTATAGTCACACAACCACAAAATTTGAGAAGAGGAAGGGACATCAGGGGACAGCTAATCCAAGGCCCTCATTTTCAGTTGAGGAAACTGAGGTACAGAGGGAGTTGAGTGGTTTGCCCAAGGTCAGACAAATAGTAAGCTGCAGAGCTGGGGTTTGAATCCAAATTCTTCAATTCCAAATCCAGGTCCCTTTCTACTATACAATGTTGCTTCCTAATTCATGGACCAGACCTGTTGTTTCAATAGCATAGGGAATTCCCAATGAAGAAACTCTATTTACTATTGTGGATCTGGACCTGCCCTACAACTTAAAGTCTTAGAGAGTTGCCTTTCTA